TTGACAATCTACTTGTCCTGATTAAAAAAAAAAATAAAAAATGTTGCCAGCATGGGAAATATGAAGGGTTGATGTTTTTTCCTTTATTAGGCAGAGGAGATTTTATGAATGTCTGGGGCTTTTAAAAATGAAAGGGGCTTTATGATGACTTTTAATTTTGACTTTTTGTTTTTCATTTAAAACAGAGGCCCTAGAGAATAAGTTGTTGGGTGTTGCCATTTTTCATGCATGTCACACGGTATTCGCGCAGTGGTTTTTTCAAATGCATTTTTTGGGGAAAAAATACACATTTTTAAATTTCAATGCAAAAAGGAAACATAATACACCTGGAACTGCATGTCCCAGGCGTCAGGCAATAGGAATCGCACATCCCTGTATCACTGTCAGCAGAAATTCTACATCTGCTCTTTCCCTATGTTCACTTTATTATCCATTCCATAGCGCTGTGGGAAGGCTTCCATATAAGTGGGGGCACAAGCTATCACTTGGCAGCTTTGCCTATTAGTAGACCCTGCCCGCTGATGACACTAGCAGTGTAATCCAGTAATCATAAAAAGAAGTGTGTGGGGGGGGGAGTAATACTCTGATGACGACAGACCTGAGAGGTACCTCTGAGGCTAGAACAGTGAGACTATGGGCACTGTCAGATGTGTTTGCTTCTAATTTAGGTACATTTTTAAACTTGTTGCTTTGTGACATGCTAATGAATCCCTCTTAGACGGACAAACTTAATATTTTTAAGTACAGGTCCACTTTAACCATTTGTCAACTGCCATGCTTTGCGCAGAAATCACGTGTATATTTATATATATATATATATATATATATATATATATATATATATATATATATGTGTGATTCTGCGTTTCTGGGTAGGGGGCGTGCACGTCGTCATACCTGCACCTGTTATTGGCTCCTGTAGGTGTCAATCACTGGATCCCGGCCACTGATTCCTGACTGGGAATCAACGATGGGCGTAGAAGCTGACAGGAGAAAGATCTGTGCATGTGAACAACACAAATCCCTCTCCTGTCAGTGAGGACATGCTGGTTTTTAACCCTCTGCAAAGCAGGGAGATAAAAACCAACACATCCCCTAGTAAAACACTACACAGTACATAGTTAAATCACTCCCTAACACACAGTTAACCCTTTGATCACCCCAAATGTTAACCCCTTCCTGCACAGTGTCATTAGTACAGTGTTAGTGCTTTTTATTAGCACTGATCACTGTAAATGTCAGTGGCAGTTAGTTCCCACTCAGTGTCAGAATGCCCGACGTACTATCGCAGTACCGATTAATGTACTGTACCAATTAATATACACATATTGTTTTGTTTTGTTTTTTTACCATGGACATATAGTAGAATACAGTTTGGCCTACATTTTTGAAGATATATATATATATATATATATATATATATATATATATATAGCAAAAAGTAAAAAATTGTTTTTTTTTTATTTTTGGTCGTATTCATTTATAGCGCAAAAAAAAAAAAAATTTAATTTGTGTACAGTGTTGCATTACCACGCACCTGTCAGTTAAAGTAGCACAGCACCATATAGCAAAAAATGGCCTGGTCATGAAGGGGGGTAAATCTTCTGGAGGGCAAGTGGTTAAAGTAATGCTATATTTCTGTAGCAGAATACATTTTGTCCTACATTTATGAATAATTTTTTTTTATTATTGGATATGTTTTATAGAAAAAAGTAAAAAATAGTGGTTAAAGTAATGCTATATTTCTGTTTTAAAAGTTGAGAGTGGTACTTGACCAGCAGAGTCGAAACCATTTAAAGTGGTTGAAATCTTCACTGGATCAAGGCCAATAATAACGAGAGATATCACAGATAGCCTATATAGTGCAATAATGCACTTTACAAATATGCAGCTATGTTTTTATGACATACTTCTATATTTCTCTCTAGTCACTATATTTGTAGTCTTTCTCCCTATTCAGCAATGTAAATTGGAATTATTTTTTTCTCCTTCGGCTAGGAAAATAAAAGTAAAGCATTTTTTTCTTACAATGACCTTGACAAAGCAATCTCTCTTGTACAGGATTGACTCCTGCAGTAAATGTGCCTTAGTATTTGATTTGAGGGGGTTCTCCTTTTTTCTAACACATTTCCAACACTTTAACATTGCCATTTTTGCTGCTAAGGCGATATACATCACTGCATTATAAGGACTGAAAATAATAATCATCTTCAACAGCAGACTGTTTATATCAATTCAAAAGTGGAAGTGTAACGATTAAAGAATATCTGTCAGAATGTGGATCAAAACAAGGGTATTGGGAAAATAATGGTAGGAGAACTATAGAGATCAGTGTATACTGTGTTGATCCCATCAGTGCTAAAGTTGTCCTTTTAGAATATGAGCCCAGTGTTTTGAAAGATGTTTTAAAATTAAAATCTATGTGATGCTTCAGCTACTTGCTTATATTAAAGCTTATCTCTTAAACCCCCCACCCCACTATTCTTATCCCAACCCTAAACCTGTTTAAAAAAAGAAACAAAAAGTTATGATTTTTCACCAGTCTCTACTACCAAATAAGACTTTTCTTAGCTCTTGTTGTTATGGAGCCCCTTTTCAGCTTATGCTGCTGGCCTGATTTTTAAAAAGTTTAGGTAGCCACTCCCACATGAGTATATACCTTTATCTCTTCCTTTCTACATCAGTCTCTATGAGAGAAGCATATTCTAACTCAAACTCTAGATAGCACTGTAGCATCATACATGTCATAGATCAAATACTATATGTCAAAGAGTCAAGCTATTGTTGACTTTTTATTGACGTAGCCTGGGTGCAGTGTTTGACCACAATTCTTTTAAAACAATTGGAGCAGGTGAAATGTGTATGTGGCCCATCAAATTTGCCAACAATAGTATCTATTTTACCATGATTATATGATATTACAAGGCAGCATATGCAAACATTGTTGCAGTGGCTTTTGTTTAGGAAATGTTCAATAATATTTCCCCTAATCACATAACACAGAGATAGATATTGGGAGACCTTGTTTTTGCTGAGATGGGTTTTAAAAATAAATTATTGGAGCTACCTTGATCATTATTTTTAAAGCTCACTGGGCAAGAAAAACAGTTACACCTGAGAATGAAATGTACCTGTTAACAAACCATTATGTTCATCCTATTAATATAAAGCAGAACTTGGGTGGGGGGGAGGGGGAGTAAAAGGAGCCCTTGCAATCAGTGAATAATGCAGTAATAATAAATATAGCAAACTTACCACTGACAGCTCAGTGTTCTTCCATCATTGATTCACAGCTGCCAATACCCCACTGACAGCTCAGTGCTGTTCCATCATTAATTTACAGCTGCCAATGCCAGCTTTGTGGAAGCTTCCTTCCCCAGTCCCCCATAGGGCAACCAGTGATAATGTAGCATGATGGAGTTGCACCATCCTTTCAGTTGACATATTAGACTGCATTGTGCATGTTCTGCAGGCAGCGTTGGAAAAAGAGGTCTGCCAAAAAAGAGAAAAGTCTTTTCTAACCCATAGGAGTTGTAGGAAGTTTTTTCAGTGGGTCATGATAGTAAGTTTTTAGCTCAAAATGATCATACAGAAATACTTGACCATCAACTACCATTCTTTTAGTTGAACAATCGCACGGTACTCTAGTTTAAAGGCTAGGTGCAGTCCTACACAATTTCACATTAGATAGACAAAAAATTAAACATAGAAACAAAGGTTTAGTTTATTTTTCTACTTCAAATTAATACACACTTATCTAAAAAGGCCACTATAAGGCTTTGCTTACATCTGCAGTTGGGGGGGGGAGAATAATAACAGGTGTTTGAGACACATTTTTACCAACCTAAGCTGCAAAGGCAGCTATATGGGTGTATACACATATCATGGTGAGGCAATAATTCTGCCCTCCCCCTTGGTGCATTCAAGTGAATAGGGCCAAGTTGCAACTGCCCCATGGTGCAGACTTTTAGAGATTAAATCATCTCTTCACCGCCTGTCAAACACACTTTGAAAAGTGACTCACCGCCAGTCATTCAAAGGTCAACTGCTAAACGAACCTTAAGAGAGAGAGTTTTTATTATGGCCATGTAGGCTGCTTTGCATGGTGTCAGATTAGACTTTTCTATATCCACTGAATGATTTTCCTCTTTAGATTTCTTCTAGATAATAATAGTGCATGCAGTGACAGGTATGGATACAGTGCCTCCGTAATATACATTCCTATTACTGGTTATCATATCCTTCAGATATATATATATTTTTTTTTATATATATATATATATATATATATATATATATATATATATATATATAAATAAAATAAAGTTTCTGTGGACTAATTTAGTAATTAAGCAGAACAGCAGAAATACATATTCAAATTAATTGTTATTTTGAAACTGTAGGCAAGCTATTCATTTTTCTTCCACCACAGTGTGGAGTTTTATTATTATTTGTTATTCATTAATTCAAATAACTAGTATAGTGCTTTGCTTTTTTGTTAGTTGAAAAAGAAGTGTAAGTATAAAGGAAGCAGATGGTCCTTTTGTGATTGAATGAAGAAAAAGGGTTTTCAGAACAATGCATGAATAGGTGTAGCCTAATAAAACACTCAGCCACCTGCTGCCAATCTCTTTTCAAAAAGATTCTGTTGCATATTTTGAAAATTAACAAGCAATGTATCCTTGAGTTTCATGTGAAAAACACAGATTCAGAGGAATATATCTCCATTTGCTGTGTTGATTGTTTTGTCTCCTTTTCTTTAAAACGTTTTGTTTTTCTTCTATGCAAACCAGTTTATGTTCTATGTGAACTTTTCTTTCATACAGAGACATAATTGCTGTGCATTGTATATTTTGATGCCAATATATTGATAATGCGGAAAGTAAAATTACATTTAATTGAATCTTTTATGTCTTGAACATTATGTTGTGCGCGGTGTGTATTCATTTTTTTTTTTCTTTGTAGCTAATTATACAGTATTTTTTTTCTCTGTCACTCAGGGATTTACTCTTCAGTCAGAATACCAGAATCTTATCAACCCAACATCTACAGCGGCCCAGGTTGTTACTCAAGCAATGGAGTATGTCCGCTCAGGATGCCGGAATCCTCCAGGACAGGCCATAGAATGGAACAATGACTACTGCAGTAGTGGGTGAGCAGGCTACCAGCACACTCTAGTGTTGTATTCATGTTATTAATGTTTGATAACATTCTTTAATGCACATGCCTTGGGAACATAGTTATTAGTTGTAAAACAACTTATATATAAAGATTTACGGTGTATTTTACACTCTTTAACTAATAAATAGAATTAATATATAATACATAGAAATGTTACATGGTAGAAAAGACGCAATACAAACAATATTAATTATACAGATACACAAAGATAAATAGATAGATACATATATACATACATACAATTACCCAAAAATGATCCTTGTTGTTGTTTTTATGTAGTACCATTATTTTGTTTGTCAATGTACAACTTTATAGATTTAACAGGGGAAAATTATACAGATAACAAAATGCACAAAATGTTCCAGAGAATAAAACATAGATGGGAATTTAGTAAGACTGGAGCATCTGGAATCAGGAGCAGCTGTGTAGTGCAATCAGATTCTACCTTTCATTTTTTATAGCTTAATTGAACAAGCTGAAGTTAAAAGCTGATTGGTTACTGTGCACAGCTGCACCAGATTCCGCCTGCTCCAGTTTTAGTAAATCACCCAATAGTTTTTAAGGCATCTAAAGTTAAATGTTTTATATTATTTAGTTTTGGATACATTAGGAAATGGTTACAAGACCTTTCATGTGTTTTTGTGTCCCACTTGGAAGATTACTGTTCACTTCCCGTCCTGTAAACACAGCAAAAAGTGAAAGGAAATCTCCAGAAATTGAAGAAAATGTCATCTTAGACATCTGTCACAAAAGCAAGTGCCCATATTGGACAATTCACCTCAGCGACAACTCAAAATTTTGGATTGTTTATCATTTTCATGCCTGGTGTCTGTGGTCACTATGACAAATAGAGAGGGTAAACCATTACTCCATCCAAAACTAGAAAAAAAAAGATTTGCCTTCAGATACACTTCAAGTAACATCTGAACAAAATATAGCATTAACAGGAAACAATAAGATTGAGTAAGCTCCTTTAATTTTAGTAAGGGATGCATACTCCCTCATAAGCTTCCTTCCCACTTAAACTTTAACTGACGGATACTTTTACTAACCAATCTAGACTTTCCTTGTTCAAATATTTTATTGGAATTTTAACAGGGAGGAAGAGAAGGGACATTAGAGATAGACATTTCTCAAACATAAGATTAAAATAATAGGCATCAATGACAGTAGAGTCTTTACAAAAAAGGGGAGAGGAGGGGAATGGTGAATTGAAAATATGACAGTTTTAAGGAACATAAGATGGGTAAAGCTAATACAAAATTTTAACAAGTAAATAGGCACGCTCCAAAATGATTCGTAGGGGGATCATAACATAGGAGCATAGAGTTATACAGGATGGTTAGGGGGAAAAAAAAAAAGGGGGGATGGGGTCAGGGAGGTCAGAGGGAGAGTGGGGAAGGGTGAGAAGGGGTAAGTGACTCCACAGTTAGCAGCAGTAAATGGAGGAGAATGCGAGATTGGCAACAAATGGTACCAGAGTAGTATGGAGTATTTATCACGGGTTAAGAAGTGAGTCGTCAAAGTTTGGTGGGAGGAAGCACTCTACCCAGGGGTTCCAAACATTCCGGAATTTAGGGATAGTATCTAGAATTGTGGCTTCCACTTTAGCGTGAATCATAGCCTGGATAACTTTATTTTTAACTACTGCAATGCTTAGGGAGGGAGATTTCCAAGACTTAGCTATGACCTGCTTGGCTGCCGTGGTAACTTGTAGAATAAGTTTGAATTGTGAGTTGGTTACACCAGGGGGGGGGGGGGCGTAGATTGAGCAGCGCAGTAACCGGGCTTGGCTGGAGTGTTTTTGCGCTAAGTTTAGACAGTATACCAAAAAGATGTCCGCCTAAAAGGCTTGGGCGATTGGGCAATCCCACCATATATGTAAATGCATACCTAGGTCTACACAGCCTCTAAAGCAAGTGAGGGAATAATTAAGTGTATACTTTGCAATTCTCGCTGGGACTAGGTACCAACTGGTTAGGACTTTATAGTTGGTTTCTAGAGCTACAATATTGTGCGATGATGACTTAGTATTGGATCAGATATGGTCCCAGTCAGAAGGGTCTAGTTGCCGGCCAAGGTCCGCTTCCCATTTGCGAGTGTATGAGGGGGGTGACGTGGTGACCGAGGTTGTAAGAAGGGAGTACAGGCATGTGATGAGGCCTCGTCTATGGGGGTCTTTGTGACAAGCCCATTCAAAGGGAGACATGGTGTTCACTTTGTTTAAATTTGTTCCTAAGCATGAAGTGATGGGCCCGGAGAAGGTTGGCTGAGGTCCATTGTTTGAATACGTGTGGTAAAGACCATGCTGGGGGAAAGGCTGGGTTTCTCAGATATGAGAACGGGATTATGTGCTGATTGTAAGAGATAGCGGGATTTGGGATTTCAGTTTATACCAAAGCAACAAAAAGTGAGATGTGAGGGGGTTTGTTATCGAGCGGCGGTCTATAGGTTTTAACCATAGAAGGTTAGCAGTAGACAAGGGGTCGCATTCTATGGATTCGAGGATAACCCATTGAGGGATTTTGTGGGTCGCGTGATAGTTTGGCAATTGCGCTAAGTGTGCCGCCTGGTATACTTGCTAATATCTGGGAGACCTAGTTTGGGGCAATACAGGGTTGAGCGGGGTACATGGGGTCGTAACGTGCCCCAGACGTAGGAAAGTATGCAACGCTGTAAGGTGCGAAGGTAATGGGTAGATACCGAGATTGGGAGAACTCTGAAAAGGTATAAAATTTTGGGGAGGATTGACACTTTCACGACTGCTATTCTGCCTAGCCATGCAAGCGGTAGAAAGGACCATTTGGTCATAAGAGCAGTTAGATGAGCTAACATAGGGGAGTAGTTGGCGGCGTATAGATCAGAGATATTGGGGGTCAGTTTTTATACCCACGAGGGGAATAGAACATTGTGACCAGGAGAACGGAAGTATCAATTTCAAATGGGCCAGATCTTTAGGGGGAAGGGAGATATTGAGTGCTATTGATTTTTGGGGATTAATTTGAAGGCCTGAGAGTGAGCCAAACCTCTCGATGAGGAGAGAAGGAGAAGAAGTCAAAGGGGATGTGAGAAAAAGTAAAACGTCATCTGCAAATAGACATAATTTGTGAAGGGAGCCTCCTATCTCGAGTCCATGAATATCCAGGTTGGCCCTAATCAGAAGAGCCAACGGTTCTATGGCCAATGCGAAGAGTAGAGGGGACAGGGGGCAGCCCTGTCTGGAGCCACGGAAAATTGGTAATTGAGCAGACCGATGTCCAAGATACCTGATTCTGGCCGAGGGTATGCGATAGAGTGAGAAGATCCAGGTTAAAAAGTGAGGGCCAAAGCCCCATCGACGCAGAATGTAGTGCAGGTATGGCCACGAGACTGTGTCAAATGCCTTCCGGATGTCTAAGGACAGAAAAAAGGCGGGAATATTGCAAGATTTAGCTATGTGTGCTAGGAGAGTTGCGCGGCATTAGTAAGAACAGGCGTAAGGAGGTGGGCAAATATTTTGTAGTATGTGGCGGAAAAGCCATCGGGTCCTGGGCATTTACGGGGCTTTAAGAATTTGATAGCATTTAGGGTTTCAGTTGGGGTGATGGTACGCTCTAGTGCTGTCAGTTGGTGTTCCGAGAGTTTTGGGAAGGTGAGGGGGGCCAAAAGGGTGTCAGCCTGGGAAGGGTCAAAGGGTGTGGAGGAAAGAATAAAGTCGTGAGAGCTGTTTGTGGAAGACTTGTAGGATGCGTTCCAGATTACTAGTGGGGTTGCCAGAAGATGTGCGTAATCGAATGGGTTTGATCAAGCCTACGGAGCGAAAGAGCTAAGAAGATGCCAGGTTTATTGGCTTTTGTATAATATTTATGCCGGGATCTGCGAAGTGAGAACTCCGCCTGGTCCGTGAGGAGAAGATCAAGGGCCAATCTGGACCGTTCCAGGACTTCTCGGGTGGCTGGGGAAGGGGTCGTCTGGAAGGCTTGATGAGATTGGTTATAGGTTTGTTTAAGGAGAAGGCTTTGTTGTCTTTTCTCTTTATTTAAAGAGGATGCTTTGCTAATTCAGAACCCGCGAAGTACAGGTTTATGTGCTTCCCAAAGTAGGAGAGTTGAGATGTCAGGGGTTTGGTTTAGAGATAGGTAGTTTTTGAGTGCAGTTTCAATATCTGAGCAATGTGTTGGATTTGTTAAGAGGTTGTCATTGATGATCCAGGAGGAATCGGGGGGGATGGGGCCAAAGAGGCAATGGAAGTGAGTACAGCACAGTGATCTGACCAGGGAATTGGGAGGATTTCGGAGGCCAATAATCGAGGGGAGGAGCTAGCAGTCATGAAGATGTGATCTATTCTTGAGAATGTCTTATGAGGGTGAGAATAGAAGGTATATTGGCGCTCTGTCTGGTTAAGTTCTCTCCAGGTATCTATCATGGAGTAACATTGTAGTATGGCTTGGAAGGTTTGTTTGGAGGTGGTGGGGGGGGGGGGAGGGGGACTTGTCTAGGAAGGGGTATAAGGTACAATTTGAATCTCCGCAAACTAACAGTGTACCACGTTTATGGTGGTCAATGACCAATAATAGGTGGGAGAGAAACGGTAAGGGACCTTGGTTCAGGGCGTAGTATGTTGTGATGGTGACTTCAACGTCCAGAAGTTGCCTGGGTAGCGGGAGGTAACGACCTTCAGGATCTTTAATCTCAGTATGCAGTGTGAAGGGCGTCGTACAGTGGAAGGCAATGAGTACCCCTCTGCGTTTCGTAGCAGAGGAGGCTGTGTAGACCTGTGGGAAGCGGGGCCAAAGAATTTGGGAGTGGAGGAAGGAGTGTAGTGTGTCTCTTGAAGGCAGACTATATGAGCTTTATGTGATGCAAAGGAGCAGAATGCCTTGTTGCGTTTCTGTAGTATGTTAAGGCTCTGAACATTCAGGGTGAGAATATTTAAGGAACCCATGGGGTGAGTGTTTAGCGAACCAGATAGTAGGGTGTTACCAGCTGGAAGTGA